ATGCTTTTCTTCCAGCTCTTCAACACTTCCAAGCCAGCTCTTAAGCATATGCACGTGCCAAATTTAAGTTCAGACATGCCTATTTGTGCTCTAACTTCCTTGAAAAGTGTTTTTATTGGATTGAATGGCAGCCCAGGTAGTGAAATATGCTGCCCCCTTTTAAATTACTCTCTTTTCAAGAAGGCAAAGATAAACACTGTTTAATTAATTTTCTTCCTCAGAATGGGGAAAACTTTAAAACTGGGTTTTGAGTTGACTCTCCAGAAGCCCACAGCACCTCCAGGTGCCCTGTGCTGGTGAAGCCCTTCCTGCACATCCTGAATGCTGCTGCTGCAAACAGACCTGCTGTCCTAACGTGCCCCTGTAGCTGTCCCGGCTTTCTGCTGTCCTTAGAGGCGCACGATGTAGGTCAGAATAGCCCCTCGTCCCCTCACCGCCTACCATGAGATAAGAGCTCCTGGAACGGAGACAGCTCTCAGTGTTTGGCGAGTTTGCTAGAAATTAGCAACACGCCAGCAGACTGCAAGAGGAATTGCACCGCTGCACAGGGGAGCCTGGTGCCACGCATTAGCAGCCAGAGAACAAGGTACAAAACTGTGGATTTTCCAGGCTTCATGATTTAATGATATCCTAAATGGAAAGCCATTCAGGGGTGATGAAATTTGAGTTCACTTCAGTGCGAGTCTGCTACCCTAACTGCTGCTAACAAATAAACGCATGAGCTGCTTTGGTTTAGTCGGTAGGAAGCGTTTAGAGAAGGCAGTATCCAGGGCAGGGTTCTGGCAGGGCTCTGCAGCCCTGTGCCCCTGCCTCGCGTGGGGCAGCGCCCGAGTCTGCTGGCCGCAGCACGGGCGGTTACGCAGCGGGGACAACAGCGGGGACAACGCTCGTCCTTGCCCTGCTCACCCACCCCTGCGCCTCGCGGCCAGGACGGCGCCCAAACGGCCTCGCGCTCAGCAATCCTGGGCGAAGCGGTCGGTAACCGGGGCTGTTTTGAGAAGACAGGTTCACGTGCTACCTTTCCTCCAAGGTTCACGTGCTACCTTTCCTCCAAGGTTCGCGTGCTACCTTTCCTCCAAGGTTCATGTGCTACCTTTCCTCCAAGGTTCACGCGCTACCTTTCCTCCAAGGTTCACGTGCTACCTTTCCTCCAAGGTTCACGTGCTACCTTTCCTCCAAGGTTCGCGTGCTACCCTTCCTCCAAGGTTCACGTGCTACCTTTCCTCCAAGGTTCGCGTGCTACCTTTCCTCCACTGCTTCTTAGCAGAAAGGGTTTCTCTTTGAGGTGCTTCACTGCCGTAAGGAATGAGATCTGAACAACCAGACACCACATTACCGAGCTGCTCTTTATCCTGTTGAATAATGTTACCTGCAAATTCCACAAAGGTGTTGTGTAGTTACTACTGAATGAGTTTTTGGAAGGGGAAACAAGTTGGTGTGGATGGTGTAGGCCAGATGAGTCAAACCGCGTGAGTCAGGCAAACCAAAACAGCTGGAGTATCTGAAGCACCAAGCAGCAACCTCCCAGGGTTCTCCCCGTGTCCCCAGGCACTTCACAAAATCCCACAGCCAGCAGATTTGGTGGCAGAGAACAGACGGTGCAAAGCGCAGATGTTCCCCAGAAAACCCGCTGCATCCCAGTAACTTGCCCTGCACACAGAACTGCAGTGCTCGGGGCGCAGCAGCGGCGCCCGCGCCGGGCGCTGAGG